CACATCAAAAGATCAGAGCGCAATGATTCGTAAATTGCTCGTTTTGTGAATGCCGCAGGAATCCTACGGCGAGGACGACAAACTCCGTTTTTCTAGACCATGTCATTCGGTGTGGTTATCGATGAACCGTTTCAACAGTGCAAGCATCGTGACGACTTTTCGGATGGCTTAGACAAGCCCGAGTGCCCATGCTCCCTAACGACAACACCGTTATCGTACATCCTTTTGTAGACATAGAATGTGTTACGAGAAATGTCGAGAATGTTACAGTACGCCTGCACGCACATCTTCCGCTTGCAAGCTACACGCCTGACCCGCTTAGCACCACCTTCCATAACCGTGAAGTCATGTATGGTTTGCAACCACCACTTCGTCCTTTCCGCGAAACTTTTCGAGTAGAATGCCTCCCGCACCGGCCTGACATCTTCGACTGTCAGTTCAGCGCAACACATCCGCCTACAACAGAGCATCCCTCGCACTGCCTGAAGTGACTGCATCCTGAGTTTGCCCATAGCTCGTCGATGCTGTGTCTTTTTGGCCGGTTCTTTGTTTGCCATAGAATAGGGTCTTCTTTCACCGGGCATAGCCGCCGGCAAAATGTATCGTATGTGGCGGTCCTCTTCGGAGAGACAGCGCGAGCTCTGACTGTCTCGTGAATAGCAGTATTCAGTGATTTCATCCGTGGACGGTCCTTGACTCTCCTGGCACTGCGGAGGGGTAGACGAGGAAACCCTATCACCCCCATCGGCAACTCCCAAGGAAGAACCAGCAGTAGTGCAGCTGTTCGCACTATACACGTACTCCGTCCCACTATAACTACAGTCACCGAGATTCCCCTCGGGTATGGAGCTCGACATCCCAGCGTCGGTCATTTCAGAACATGCTGAAGAGACTCTGGATGTACAATTGACACTAAGAAACTGACCCCCGCTTCCAGTGTTTTTGTGGTATTCGAGCACGTCACGACAGATGTACGAATGCTTAGTGGAGGTGGATAACTGTGTTCTCTTCCGTCGATGCTGAGTGTTTGAGTCACGTGACCGTTTTCCAGAGGAAGCACATGGCTCGAGTCGTGAAGAAGTACTATCGGCACTGCTCGGAACTCCAATGCCCATAACCAATCCCTTCCCAGCCAATTCCTGCCGAAAACATAACGGAAGGCAAGCTGGCGTGGGAGGGAAGTCTTGATCGACCGTTGTCGTATCACACTAGTGAAGCATTCGACTTTTCCCTGCGAGCAGAGCAACACACGTTGACCCAAATCGCAGCCGAGACAGTTGTTGGACTTTGGCAATGATAAAGCGACAGAGATGCGTCCGCCAGTTGGCGAGCATTATAGCAGCGCAACGAAACAAAAACACAATGCATAGCCAGCCTTGAACCGGACAACAAGCCTTCACCCTCACCGATTTCACATGTATGGCGTAGAAATGGCGTCCCACGAGTATGTAACATACTTTAGATTCGGATGAATCCGACGCAACGACGCAGGCAAATTTCGGACTTAACATTAGAGGTGCACAGTCAGCCTTGAACCGGACTACAAGCCTTGCCCGTCACCGACCACACATGCTGTAGAAATTGCGGGTGCGCAAATATGTAACTGATTTTAGACTCGGATGAATCCGATACAATGATGTAGGTAAATATTGGCAAGTCCGCATCGTCGCAGGTTCTTATATCGGATGCATCTGAGACACTTAAATCCAGATTTAGACAATTGCAGCATACACCACCAGTGCATCAAGTATGCAATGTCGAGCACCATCAGCACGCATACAGATGACGGAAGTGATCACGAGTCTTCCGCGTCGTAAGAAATTGACAACCTTCCCGCAGTGCCAAACAATCGGCGGTCTGTGCTGTGGGGTGGCAAAAACACTCTTAGGGAACCTCGCGGTCTTGTTCGGAAATTGTTGGCGTAGTACCAGTTGCTCACCAAACAGTTTCGAACGCCGATGTAATAGACAGATCATATGATGCCTTAAGATCAAGCAGTGGTTTATAGCTGGTCCCTTTCCCGGTGTGGATCTTTGAGAGCAGAGTTTCACACTCCACCGTGAGATCCATATCGGAGAAGGGGACCTGCTACCCTGCCACTGTTAACTTTAGTCATCATAAGGGAGTCTATGACGCGGGAACCAGAAAATGAGCAATTGCGGAGGAATATCGCGGCCGCATGACGAACTTTTTGGTGTAGCACCAGATGCTCACCGACCAGTTTTGAATGTCGGTTGTATCGACACATCATATGATGTTTTACAAGCAAGCAGTGGTTGATAGCTGACCCCCTTTCCCGGTCTGGATCTTTGAGAGCAGAGTTTCGCACTCCACCGTGAGATCCATATCGGAGAAGGGGACCTGCTACCCTGCCGCTGTTAAGTGTAGTCATCATAAGGGAGTCTATGACGCGAGAACTCGAAAATGAGCAATTGCGGGGGAATATCATGGCCGCATGACGAACTTTCTGGCGTAGCACCAGATGCTCACCGTCCAGTTCTGAATGTCGGTTGTGTCGACACATCATATGATGTTTTACAAGCAAGCAGTGGTTGTAGCTGGCCCCCTTTCCCGGTGTGGATCTTTGAGAGCAGAGTTTCGCACTCCACCGTGAGATCCATATCGGAGAAGAGGATCTGCTACCCCGCCGCTGTTAACTGTAGTCATCATAAGGGAGTCTATGACGCGAGAACCCCAAAATGAGCAATCGCGGGGGAATATTGAGGCTGCATGACGAACTTTTTGGCGTAGCACCAGATGCTCACCAACCAGTTCTGAATGTCGGTTGTATCGACACATCATATGATGTTTTACAAGCAAGCAGTGGTCGATTGCTGGCCCCCCTCTCTGGTATGGATCTTTGAGAGCAGATTTGACGCAATCCACCGTTAGACCCACATCGGAGAGGCAAACCTGCCATCATGCCGCTGTTCACGGTAATCATCATGTGGGAGTCGACAACTCGATGACCCCGCGATGTTCCAATCGGGAAGGTTTTTTGTGTTGTGTGCAGGTGCTGAGCGTTCGGTGACGAGAAGGAACAAGCTCCAGAGGCCCCAAACTTCGGATGGATCCGAGACACAAGATGACATGCCGGACAAGGTCGATTGCAGCGTCGGCCAGCGTCGCTCAGTCACTTTCGGCCTGGCAGCGGCTGTTGCACAGAGGGCTACGGACATGGCACCACATTTCATGGCATCCAATCCAAAAACCATCGTCGCCGTCGCCGGGGGGTGATCACGAGCCTTCGCCGTCACGAGAAAAAGACCCGACGATTTCGCAATCGGGACGTGCTATGCATTCTGCGCAGCTGCTTATCATCGGCCCATATGAAGCGTATTGATGCAAAGAGGAGTTTCTTTCAGCGGGTGTCCAGGGTAACAGACGACTTTTGCGGGGATGAGAATGAAAACGCATGTGCAGCCGGCGACTTCGGATGAATCCGAGACAGAAGATGTTCTGGTGGACATGCATGATTACAGCCTCGGCCGTCGCCACTCACGTCATTTTCTGCCATGCAGCGGCTGTTGCACAGAGGGCCTCCGACACGGGCACCACATTTCATGGCAGCACCAGACTATTTGGAAGCGTCGCTTGCTTCGAAGGCGTGCAAGAACATAAACTCGATGGTCTGCAGTTATGGAGTCGCACATACAGAATCCGACAGGTTGTTGTTTGGCCAAGGATCTTCCTTGGGGAAGTCTATACGCATCGCCTTCAACGTTGGACGCACCCGCACGTATCTGGTTGATGATTCGGATGAATCCGAAACACTTATAGAACGTCACCTTCGCAAGTTCAAATGCAACAACGCAGTTGTCAACTTCAGTCGTCACGAGGGAGTCTCCTTTTCCCTTAAACACAAGGTCTGACCACACGTCCGTATCTTGTGACATACGGGGGTTCCCGCGGACGAGGTCGTGAACGGAAGCCATACATAGCATTCATAGATGATCCATACACATGGATCTGCGGCTCGTCGACTGTTGCCTTCTCTGAAAACACTGACATGTATTTCATCCTGACAAACCCTCCTCGTCGTGCTAAGGAATTCCCTATACAGTCACGTATTTCAGACACTTTCTTTTCCACATCATCCCACAATGACAGAAAAACTCTTACTTGACCTGCTCTCACCAAGTCTGATCGCCCATCTACATCTGGGCGAGACATGACCGCCTTGAACCTGGATCCCTGAAGCACCATCTCATTGCGTGACACAAGCACAACTGCATCCACAAGTTTCCCGATTTTGCTTGAAGAAGCCACACAAAGCACTCTGGCGAAAGGACATCCGTCATCCGTCAAGCACACACAACAGTACGACAGAGCTCGTGGAGAAGTCACTGGGCAACGGGGTGGGTAGTGTTCCAAGAATGAGCAATGACGACCGCAGTCCACCAACTCTTGCTTCTGCGAAGTTCCCCAAGTTTGTGGCGAAGATGTGATATACTCGCAGTGGAGGCGACGTCTGAAGCTCGTACGGAAGCGGACCGGTTTACACTTATCGTTCAGGGTCTTTCGATGGAGGACACCAGCAGGCAGTGCAATGAGGCTCCCGAACTTCAACATGTTGGCAAACTTGTAATGGCTTGCCCATGGGCAGGAACGCTCCATTGCCTTCCAGTCATTTTCGTTCCATTCGTCGAGATGCCGGTTCATGTAAGGGACGACGGTCGTCCATGGGTCGTCCTCGAAGTCGTCCTCGGGTGCGTCGTCGATCCACGTTTAACCGTTATGATGCCGCAACGATCTCGCACAAGGTGGAAAGGGTTTCGCTAAGCGCATGTGCCTCTCGGGTGTCATGGCGATGCTTGTCGAAGGACTCGACGACATTAAACTCCCTACACAACACGAACACATGGATAGACATACGAAAGAGGAGACGGTCGTAAACAATATCGGTGAACGATAATTTCCCCGACGACGCCCACACCCAGCTGTAACGCCCTACACTTTTTTTGTCGGCGAAGCCCTTACAGAAGGCCGTCAATCGGAAACGTCCAAAAAAAAGATCTTTCCACGTCGCATTGCAAAGCCCTTACAGAAGGTCACCAATCAGAAGTTCACCAAGCCAATTGAGTGTTGTCTAAAAGCTACGCAGGGACCTGTTCCAAAGCAGATGCGGGATTTCAAAAAATTATCAAAACCCACGCCGTGAAGCACGTTGACACGGACAGAACAATGGGACGGCCCTCGTCGAACGGAACAGCACACCGACGCCGGACAGCCACATTACACCGCCTCATCTACAGAAGACGTTTTCGCACAGTCGACATGACAGGTACTTTTCGCAGAGCCATGAAAGCACACACTCTACCTACCACGGTCATTCTGAATACGAGCTGAACAGAAGTGCAAGACAGATGCTCATCAAAGCCTACAGCACCGCCCCGGATCCGAGGTTCGGACCAATCTGAGCCACCAGCCAACAGCAGTCCTAGACAGAAGCTCATCCATGCCCACCAATCCGTGGCTCGGATTAATCCGAGCCACCGACCAGTTACCTCGCCTCACTCGGAGGGATGTGGCAGAAGGATGAGACACCCCTGGAATCGAAGGCGGAGCCAGTAGGAAGCAACACGTCCTTTGCGATGTTTGCCATACTGCCCCATGTGCAAAAAGACAAAAGCCAAGAGTGGCAGACAAATCAGACTCAATCGCCGTCGAGCTATGAGGTTCGGATTAATTATACGGACCACAGCAAACGGTTTCAGTCAGGCGGTACCCAGACGTCCTTCGAAATGTTCACATTTCGCCTCTCGGAAGGACAAATAAACAACGAATGCCATGAGTGCCCACCATCGGTTATTGTATGTTGCATTCAGGATGCGTGGCGTGTGCCGCCATTTTCCTTTCCTGATGAGACCTCCCGTCACTGGGAGTGATACTCACCTCGGGACTCCCAATGCGGTGAGGGATGTGGTTTGGATTGATCCGAGCTATATCACACGTTCAGGAAAGACGCCAAACTTATAAGTCCTTTGTGAGTATTGCACAACCCAATGTGAAATAAATAAACACTGACAAAAGCCACGACTGTCGTCCGTCAGTCGTCTGTGGTTGTGGTTCGGATTCATCCGAGCTACAAACGAAGGCAAAAGCAGATGGGGAGCTATCGGAATCATGATTTCTGGAGATGTTTACTTCGAAGCGATCCCCTGTGTCGTCGTTGTCCCTTCCACTGAGACATCGGAGGTATGCGGTTCCCATTGAGACTTCCCACGAGCCGAGGGTTGTGGTTCGGATTCATCCGAACTACATCACATGTTCCGTAGTGAGGCGAAACAAAAAACGTTCAGTCTTGTGTGAGTATTGCACAACCCAATGCGGAATAAATAAACATTGACAAAAGCCACAACTGTCGTCCGTCAGTCGTATGTGGTTGTGGTTCGGATTCATCCGAGCTACAAACGAAGGCAAAAGCAGATGGGGAGCTATCGTACTCATGATTTCAGGAGATGTTTACTTCGAAAGCGATCCCCTGTGCCGTCGTCGTCCCTTCCACTGAGACATCGGAGGGATGCGATTCCCGTTGAGACTTCTCATGAGCCGAGGGTTGTGGTTCAGATTCATCCGAACTACATCACACGTTCCGTAGTGAGGTGAAACAAAAAACGTCCAGCCTGAGAATTGCATAACCCCTCGTGGGAGACAAAGAACACCGGCGGAAGTCATGAGTGGCGGGTTGTCATGGAAAGGGGGTCGCCAGAAAACTCTCGATGGGGGAACGTTGTGTGTAAACAATTGGTCGGATGTAAGGGGGGCATAGTCATCCAACCACTTGCATCGCAAATGACATTTACTATTGCCTTCATCCCGAGATCGGATGATTCTGGACTCCATCCGGAACAAGTGGCACGAACAGCACTCTCTCACTCCCGCTGCAATCCCGAGAACGCCTCCCTAAGCTGCTCTGGGAAACAAGGCTGAGATTAATTGGAATCGAAATGTGATCGGCGTGGATCGAGAGCTGATCGTTTCACGAGGTCATTGTGCGTTCATTCAGCTCAGATTTCGAGACTTCAAACGTCGCGAGGATTGTCCACGTCAGAGTTCGCCCAAAATGAATCGTGGCGAGGGGACGGGCTGCCGCACGGGCGGCGGTGCTGTGAAGTTTTCATGTGGGCGCGATGGAACTTGTGAGCGCTGGTTCCATATCCAAAATGTTGTCGATGCGTGTCTGGCGTCTCGCGCCCGATTGCGTGGCGGTTCCTCATTGCTAGCTGCGTGTGCGAGAGCGGGCGATGAGACAAGGAACATTCAAGACAACAAGAAAAAGATCCTGATGTCGTCCACAACCGCGATAGACATGTTCAATCACCGAGTCGATTGGAAACGAGCTCGAAGTTGGCACTTGGAGGTGGGATGTCGCGGGATCGGAGGTAATCTGGGATGTTTCGGATTCGCCATGGGTATCCTTTGTGCGGAACGTTGTGGATGGGTGGCTTGGCCACAATTGGCTGTGAGTGTGACATGGGCGATTCTTGTTGGAGGTGCGCGATTGTCGTGAGGCTTCCAGCTATCAGCGCTGCGATAACATATAGTCTGATAGACGTCAACACCGGAGATGGATGGACGAGATCTTAAAGTCGATGGACACGCGTTTTTCAGATGTCGTCTCCGGTGTTGACGTCTATCGGGTGATGTGTTATCGCAGCGGTGATCACATACCGCGATTTTGAGAACGCAAGGGAGCAACGACGATGAAACTTCGTCCACTCGTCAGATGCGGTCGTCGGAGGCGTCCAACGATCTAGACTGGGAAAGTCGCAGACCATCTCGAATTCCAGACGTCATGCGCAAGATGGTGAAGTCAGCGTGTGTCAAAGGATGGGAACTTTCGTGGTTGTGAGCTGCGGACATCATGGACTGAAGATCGCGCGCATGTCGACTCGTGCGTGATAGACGGAGCAGGCGGTGATGTAGAAGAATACTCGCACGACCGACTGCATTGCGATATCCTGAGTAGACTGGGGGAGGACGACCCGCGAGCCAAGGTCCAAGAAAGTGTGCCAACAAGCGATGTCGAGGACGCCAAGACTCGCGGGCGATGCGACTTTCTCCACGCGTCAGATGCGGTCGACGGAGGGTGCCAAGACTAGAGGGCGATGTTGAGGACACCGACAAGTGATGGGGAGGACGCCAACAAGCGATGTTGAGGACGCAAACAAGCGATGTTGAGGATGCCAAGACTCTAGGCCGATGTCTGTGAAAGCCGCAAGCCATTGCTCGTCGCTGACGTAATGTGCAAGATGATGACGTCAGCGTGTGTCATTGCATGGGGTCTTCCGTCGTTGTGATCGGTGAGCGTCGTGCGGTCAAGATCGTGCGCGCGTGATTGGCGGAGCAGGTGGTGGCAGAGAACAACACTTGCACGGTCGAAGGAGCGGAAGGGCAATGGGAAGAGGTGGGGGCTCGAAATGGTGAAGGGGTCGAGCAGGGGGTGTGGGCTTCTTACTGACCTGCGAGTCGACAAACGCCTCCAACCAACACAAGAACGCACAGCGCGAACGGGACGACGCGCAAGGTTTACAGTCGCGTGACGTTTTCGTTAGCGCCCCCGGCTATCGATGATTGCTGGAAGAACGATGGCCTGGATGCGTCAGGGGCCTGCGATATGATGCAGGCGACTTCGAGCGATGGCGAACGCGTCGCAAAGGCAGCACACGGAAGACATGACTCCAGTGAACGGGTGTGACAGCCACCCCCATTCGTTTGGTGCCCGACAGGAGAACGGAGAGTGTAGTGAGTGGGGCTTGAGGGTCCCTTCAGCTGCCCGCCGCAGGTACTGCCGCGTCGAGGGCTGTGACATTAGGCGGTCCCTTTTTTGACGGACCCTCCTCACGAAATTGCACGGTCCGAAATCGTCGCGGAAGGGCGGGCCGTGATTGCGAGAGGACTGGCCTTTTTTCACCGTGCTATCGACGGTCCCAACGCATCATCTGCCGCAAATTTTCCCGCCCACTTTTGAATATCGGGGCCCGCGCGGATTTTACCGTGATATCGACGGTTCCAGCGCGTCATTCGGCGTGGCTTTTCCCGCCCACTTTCGTTTCTTGGGCCCCGCTCGGATGTATCCGCCTTTCGAATGACGGTGGCG